TTATTATTATTATTATTATTATTATTATTATTATTATTATTATTATGTAGGCTAATTTCCCCATCATAATCATTTTCAATAGAATATTTTAGACAGATATTTACTAATGCACACTGGACAAAACAAAAAACAGGATCAAATGACCCCCTGTCTTTTGTGTGATACTGGGCTATATATATCAGGCTATTTGAGCTAATTGGATATTTTTCTGAATAATAGGATGACAACATAATACTCATAAATAATTACCAGGTTTATCACCATTCATCCACAAGTTTCTGTGTGGTCAGTGGTCCCCTGGAAAAGAAAAGAAAAGGTAAAAGCTCATCTTTTGGTGCTGAAATACCTTCAATAATTTAACATTGGGGATTTATTTTGATGCATGCTCAATCATCCAGGTAAGTAAATCTCCAAAAGTTGATTCTGTTCATCTGGAAGTAGCGTCAATCAACTTTTGGAGATAATTATTTATTTTGTTTTTGACAGGTTTACAAGTACTGCAATTAAATGGGCAACTGGGAATATTACTGAAGTTGCCATTGCTGACCCTATAGTGTCTATACAAACTGCTATCAAGTCCTATCCACTTCATTAGCTCTATATTAAAAATATTCCAGCATTTCAGTGAGCATTTTGGTCTAGCTTATTTCTAAAGAAAGAAGGAAAAAAACAGAGTGGCGTTGTACATAAAAGATCTTCACCACTGTTTCCTGCCAAGAATAGATGATGTTAGGGTTCCAAGCATGAATGTCATAACACAGAGCACATACTGTTTTTTGCAATGTTCAATTAGAGCGATTATGTCTGATTTCCACGTGCACGTTTGTGCATGTCCTTAGTGAGATGATAATACATTTTTGATTCTTCACAAACCCTGTGAAGCAGTGCTTAAGTCACAACTAACAATCTAAAGATGAGCTTTAAGATAACACCCAATACTCCAGAGATCTGCCTGCTGTTCAAAATCACACCTATAAAGCCTTGAATGTTTTACCGGGTAGTCACAGGCAGCACTAACATAAGTCGATAAAGATGACTGCTTTGTGTGTATGTGGTTTAGATATAATCTTTATTGTGCATTGAAGTGAATTAATGCTTTTTTGCTCTATTGCCTTTGAGTATTTGAATTCCAGACTACAGGCAAAAATATTATAACATGTTATCATAAATGCATAATATATACACTGTGTAATGCTTAACCGCGGTGTACATGGACTCAGTTGCCCAGCATGAAGTTATCATGATTACAGTTTATGAATAAAATGTAATCATAACATTCAATGTTTTTTCCTCTTTTTATGATTTTTTTGTTGTTATGTTCATTGGTGTGATTGCTAAATTGAAATGCATAAATATTTTCTCCCTAATAAACAATGAAGTGATGATTGATTTCTGAGTTTTATAAGTAGCAAAAGCTAAGAAATGAACAACCGATACAACACATCCTCTTTTTTACAGATTAATGTCTTTAATCTCTCCTCTGAGAGTGTTTTGCCTGCATTTCTTTTTGCAACTCTGAGTTACATGATCATACTTTTTTGCAACCTTACTCTAATCCTCACCATTGTGCTGAATAAATCTCTGCATCAGCCAATGTACCTAATTCTGCTGAACCTTCCTATGTATGACCTTATAGGTTCATCAGCTCTCTTTCCACAGCTCATCAAAGAAATACTGAAGAACAGTGGGATAATGCAATACTCAGCTTGCGTTGCTCAAGCTTTCTTTATCCATATCTATGCAGCAGGCACTGTGTTCAATCTGAGTGCAATGGCATATGATAGATACATTGCCATATGTTACCCACTGCAGTACAGTACTGTGATGACTAATGCCCATATCATGAGAATAATCACCATTGTATGGATGAGTTGTTTAGTTTTAATTGCTGTGCTTTTTTTCTTACTTTTGCGCTTGCCTCGTTGTCGATCTGAAATGACTCACGTTTACTGTGATAATCCATCTCTGTTGACTTTGGTCTGTGCTGACACAACTATTAACAATATCTATGGCCTTTTTATAGTTGCTCTTTCACAATTAGTGGCTAATGGAATTGTTTTCTACACATATCTCCGCATCCTCATAACTTGCTTTAGATCTAAACGATCAGATACAAAAGCCAAAGCTCTGCAGACATGTGCTACACATCTAATTGTTTTTCTCTTGTTGGAGTGTCTTGGTCTTTTCACCATCATATCATATAGACTAAATAATGTTTCACCCCATTTCAGAAGATTTATGGGTTTGTCAACTTTAATTTTTCCCCCAACACTGAATCCAATCATCTATGGTTTGAAAACAAAGGAAATTCGAGAAAAGGTGTTGAACTTTTTAAAGAATAGGATGTTTTCATCTTAATGCACTCTTTCAAAATAATCTGATGTAACATGCTGAAACATTGGACATCGTTCACCTTCATTGTCCTCCTGCTATGTGAAATTATATTGTGTGTTATTGTTTACTCTGTCACGTCCTTTTCTAACCCTAACCCAAAAGCAGTGCACATTAAAATTTCTGAAATCAAACAATTTTTGAAAACAACAACACAAGCAATTAACATCTGATTAAAGACTGAAGGTAATATTTTTTTAGTGTGCATTGTTACTTTATCATTAATGTTTGTCATTATACCATTGTATAAAAAAATAAACGCATACTTGAAGTTAATTACAATGTTTTTGCTTTCTTATGTTGTATGACAATTTTCTAAATAAATAAACAAACACTGTTTAGTAGGTACTACAGCAGTTGGAATAATTATAATCATTGATAATGATCATTTCTGATTTGGTTTTAGAATTATGTTGTCAAATAATGTAACTTAAACAGGTGTTGCCCTGCAGATAAGATACTGCTTTTATGCACTGATTATCATCAAACGAGTATTTACTATTGTAATATGTGTAATTAAATTATTATTATTATTATTATTATTATTATTATTATTATTATTATTATTATTATTGTAGTCTACTTGCCAGATATCCTTCAGCATGATGCAAAAAGTGCTTGTATGAATGGGTGAATGAGGCATGTTCTATAAAGCGCTACATAAGAAATATTCCCTTTTACAGTATTAAAAAGATCAAATTTACTCATTGAGCATTTTCATGTTTAGCACCAAAATATCACCATTTATCTTATACATAACTGCATGGTAATGATACTACTTGTATAAAATAGGAGAATAGGGAAATGTATTTAAGACTCAGAAAGAGTAGACTTTAATTAAAAAGTCTAATCTTTATGCTCTTATTCCAATATTATAGTACTTAAAGTCTAGAATAAAAAGCAAACTTAGTTTTTGGTGTTCTATAGGTCAGCTGTGTGTGTCGTTTCGATATTAACTAACTTGAATTCTGCATTATATTTTAAGGCATTTATGAAGTCATTCCAAAGGAAATTGAAATCAGTGTAAATTTATTGTGATTGTCTAAACCTGATCTGTACATAATGTGAAGTCTAAGAAATGTGTGGTTCAGTGCTTAAAACATTAAACATAAATACACATAAAATTAAGAGTGATGTCTGTAACTGTTGTATACATCGCAGATTAAAATTACTTCTTCATATTGCTGGACAATATAGAATATAGTCTGACTACACCAGAGGGCGCCAGCAATACAATCTGAATTCATATCGACATTAAAACTGAAACTGTATGGACTTCATTTCATTCAGCAGTGTACATCTCTCTTTCATTTTGTGTAATCTGCAGCCCTCTAGTGTCTTTGAAGGCACATTAAATGTCTCACAGGACATTACATCTAGTATGGTCTGATTAAACACACACACACACACACACACACACACACACACACACACACACACACACACAAATTACAGTTCAATATTCCATTTCACTATTGCTTATTTTATCAACTGCTATCCTCAATTTTTGTAGAATTACACTTGTTACTCAACTCTAGCTTCTTAAATGTTTGAACACACTTGGCAAATAAATGTGATTTTGTTTAAGAATAATTATGTTTTCCATGAGTTTAATACTTTTAGGCTGCTTGATATTAAATCTATCAATAAATAATAATTAAATACAATTTGTACTACAGAAACATTATGTATTACATTCTCATTACCTTAAGAAAACTCACAGACTTAACTACAAAAAAACCCCAGACTTGTTCAAAATTATGACAAAATATGCTTAAGCAGATCTGAAAATGTTCCTGTTATTTATGACCTCAGTCACATATACTTTGTCTCCACATTGTGGTAAAACCTGATAATGCACACCTTGATATCATGGCTAGACTAAGACTAAGACAAAGAGTATCTACATAGTCACTTTCTATTATAAAGAAACATTTCATAGAAAATTCTTTAATTTCCATTTTTACTATTCTGTAATATTCACTAAAGCAACAAATAAATAATGTGTGGATGAGGAAGTTGTGTTATGAGGTAACTAGCCTTCCTGTCATGGTCGGGTCAAATCTGACCGATTTACAAATTTAAAAATTCATAAATATTGTGTTTTACATCCGATTGCCTTGAGGCCTTACTACATCCTCCATATTATGCACTTGAACATATAAGAGTGATGAGCACCTGTTTTATTGAATTTTGAGTGTTTTAATCAACTTTGTTACATCTGTGGTGTTCCCGGTTAAAAGCCAGACCACCATAGGAAATGAATGGGAATCTAACAACATTTGACAACAGCTTCCCACTTTGCCACATTCAATTTTAAGCAAGGCTTTGTGTCATGAGACAGTTAGGTGGCAGGCAGAGAGAGGACCCAAATGGAAGACTAGGCAGACAGACTTTAATTGAAAACTCATCTTTATTACCGGGCAAGTGGCAAGGTCATTATAGCATTATGGCAAACAGATGGCAAACAGATGGGAGTACACACAACAACAATGAGGGGATATGACGACAACAAACTGATGACACATGAGGCAATCAGGGTGATGGAGCACACCGGGGAGCACCAGTGAAATATAATATTAATATGACTAATAAGACAACAAAAGCAAAAGTAAAGATGAGCACAAGACTTCTGCTGTGTCCGAATTCAGGGGAAGGATGCTCATAAGGACACTACCTACCTACGTCACAAGGTAGTGTCCTCAGACGGACGGGTAGTCAGGAAGTGAGCGGCTGTGGACAGCCCCCTTTTTTTCTCCATAGAAACTTTATTGAACAAACAATGAGTAGTATCCAACATAACAGATGGGCTGTGGACAGCCTCCTAGCCTTCAACTCCGCTCTTACTTGTGTTTTTTTCCAGTCGCTAGCGCCACAGCGCGAAAACTTCAAAATGGACCCAGAAATGTCGTTCCGTTTTAATTTTAATTCTCGAGGAGCTAGAAAAACCTTATCGTCGTCACCCGCATGTTTTGTACCTTAGCCTCATCAGAGACAATCATATCCAGGTTACATAATTTCCTTTAATCTACACACATTTCGGAATTACTTGGCTAATTACACGGATAATTGAATAGACCCTGTGCACGAGAAAATGCTAACTTCCTGGTTTGAGACCGGATGTGGGGTTGTACATTTCCGGTATAGCTTTACTTTGCGGTCAATCGCTACTGCGAAGATATACTCCAAAATCATGTCCAAAACTCGAAAACGGAAAGATCGCATTAAATTACAAAGAGCAGAAGGTGGGAACACTCACCACTGTTGTGTCATAAAAAATCTAATGATCATTTTTGACGTTTAAAAAGTTTAGATCGATCAGTTGTTTACATCACTCAACACAAGCAGAACTGCATTACAAAATCAGAAGACACATCGTCCACATTCAGAAGCGCATCTAGTATGTATGGTGACTGGTCTCATGATTTAAACAGGCAAATGTTCAGCATTCAAACTACAGCTGAAGAATAGTCAAACCAGATGTTTCCCCCGTTATGTCGAGATCAGCTAGTCAAGTACACACCTACACAGCATGTTAACGAACCGTGAAAAAAGCCACACAAAAAAATTAATGATTGCTGGTAACAGTTTCTATACATTAGTATTTACTAAGGGTATGTTGTGACTTACCTTCAAAATTACAGCGGTCCCTCGCTAATGATGCGGTTCACCTTTCACCTCGCTGTTTCGTGGATTTTTTATTGCAAGCTTGCATGCTTATTTTTACGTCACATTGTGCCCTGCGTCCTGATCACTGCAGACGATCTCCTCCGTGACGTCTCTCCTGTACAGTACAGAGTCGCTGCATCGATTGTTAGCAGTGTGACTCTGAAGTGCAGTACTGTATGTCCACGATGTCCACGAAACCTTTTGCACCGTCAAAAAATAAAATTGGCTACTTGATTTCACCTATCGCTGGTTATTTTTAGAACATAACACCCGCGATAAACGAGGGACAGCTGAGAAATATAACATTTGAATCCCTTTTCTCTTTTGCTCTGAGGCGCGGGGGAAAAAATATCGACAAGTCAATGAACATCATTTACAGATATATTGGGTAAATGCCCAAGACATCTATAGAAATGTAAATCGCCGCTTGATTCATTCATTTGCTTAACTTGTTTTGGACCGTAAACAAGGCGCGAATAGGACACCGGAAACAAAGCTCCCCACAGGAGTTTCCGCACCGGAAGTAGCATATGCTAACGTGCACATAAGCTGTGTCCCAAAACGTCAGCTGCATCCTCCGGAGGCCGCATTTGAAGGCCGATTACGTCACAGCCAGGCGACGAAGGCTGTCCCAATTCGTCGACTCCTTCAAATGCGGCCGACAAATGCGTCCTTCATTTCCCCGAATTTGAAGGATGGGTCGGGTGTGTCCTTCGTGGCCCACCATATCCCAGAATTCATAGCGCGGGCCAGCCAAATTTCAGCTGCCAACAATGGCGGCCGCTACTAAGTTTTAAAATTACTCTTATTAATCTTTCTGGGTCACAAAATAAACTTTTAACATATTTTCAGGCGAGAAAGTACCTGTGTAAACTTCAAATATCTGCTTGGTTTATCAAGACATCGCATATTTGCAAAAGTGTGCCGACGTTTTCGGAGACGTCTGTTACCCACCCGCTCGATAGCAAGCCGGGGGGTTCAATGGTCACTCCAGCCGGCGAGAGCAGCGGACTCCCGGCTTCATCGTTTTCAGACCCCCGCTTTTTCGCTACTCAGGTTAAACATGATCTATAAGTCACTCGGATAACTTAAAAATGTAATTGTTTTCCTTTTCCGGTGTTTTATTTGTTCCGGAGTAAATTGGTTTGGCTGAGATCAAAGTTATTAGATTATTATATTAAATAAAACTTTATTAATCCATCGGGTGGGTTCCTCCGGGATTTTCACACGGCTGAATAAACGTTAAACAGAAAACTGATTAAACAGAACTGTGAGACGGCCGAGAATTTATGCCAGTC